TTGGTTGCCCTCCACTGGACCCTCTCCAATGCATCCACATCCTTTTTGTAGTGGGGGGCCCAGAACTGGACACAATACTCCAGATGTGGCCTCACCAGAGCCGAATAAAGGGGAATAATCACTTTTCTAGATCTGCTGCAAATGATTTTCCTAATGCAATCTAATATGCCATTAGCCTTCTTGGCTACAAGGGCACACCGTTGACTCACATCCAGGTTCTCATCCACTGTGATCCCCGGGTCCTTTTCTGCAGAACTGCTGCTTAGCCAGTCAGTCACCAGCCTGTAACAATGCTTGGGATTCTTCTGTCCCAACTGCAAGACTTTGCACTTTTGCTGAACCTCATCAGAGAGGTTGCAGGGGGTATCAGGGCAGAGGCTTGGGTAGTGGGGGGCTCAGGGCAGAGGGCTGTGTGAGGGGTGCAGAAGTCAAGGCTGGGGGATGAGGAGGCACTCGGGGGGGTACAGGAGTGAAGGGGGAAGGGGGCTCATGGCAGGGAACTCAGGATATGGAGGGCTCTGGGCAAGGAGTTGGGTGTGTGTGGATGGTTATGTCTGGTGGTTACCCATATCTTGCTAAGCTTTTCAACTCATTGGTTCAGTGCCTTGGCTGGGGGAGACCAGGAAGTTGGCTCAGCAGGACTGAATGGTGAGAATTCCACAGCCGAATTGAACAGAATGAATTTATAATTGTGTGCTTCACAATGACAGATTTCATTATGACATGGGTGTAAACACGTCTAGTGCATGGAGGAAAGGTCATTGGATTTAGCTGTCCAGCATTTGACCAGTATGCAAACGTGTTTAATTGCCTCGTTCTTAGAGCCAGGCTTTTAATGCAATATCATTGACTTGAATGGTTTCACTCCAGATTTACAAGTGTAAATTCAACGAGAGCTGGGCTCTATTAACTTTCCCTGACCAAATGCTCCTAGTGATACACTCTGGCCCCCAAGAATCCCACCAAGCGAAGCTGAAGGGCTTTGCCTGGCCATCGCTGACTGAATCCAGGGTGTTCCATCATCCTACAGGCTCCTCTTCCTCCTCACAGGACCTGCATCCCCTCCCCAAGAGAGGGTCCCTAGGTACTTGGCAAGTTACCACAGAGCAAGGCAGCTGTGAATCCCTGTCTTCACAACCAAGACAAAGAATAAAACCTCACCGCGCATGTTTGCTGATGAAATTTGCAGGGGCAAATAAACCTGAAGCCATTTGGGAGCTAGTCACAACAATGTGGTGGGGTCTCCGGCCACTCAGCCCCTGACAAGATCGGCACCTGTAGAAACGGGACCGATCGGGACAACCTGTCTCAGGGCATCGGGGTGTTGACACTCCAAGTTCATTTTCAGTGCCAATTTTATATGCAGTTGGAATAACCCACCAAAGAGCAGGGATAGATGTATGAAGGAGGGTTCCCAAGCTACCTAGCACTGCCTGCCCTCCAGGCCATGTCTAATCACCCCGACAGCCCAGCTGCATCCTCTGCCGCTGTACAGAACAGCTGCTAATGCAAACAGCCTGCAGCCTTCGCCCTGCACTTGGCAT